CTGACAAGGCTGAAAAAAGCTGGTGCCTCTTCGATTTCTAAGATCGGCCCTCGTGGTCTCTGAGCAGCCTAGCTTTTGAGAAAGCAAACGCCTCTTCGATTTCTGAGATCGGCCCTCGTGGTCTCTGAGTAGCCCAGCTTTTGAGAAAGCAAACGCCTCTTCGATTTCTGGGCAGGCGCCTCTTCGATTTCTGAAGCTCCGTCGAGTGCAAATTTTTATAGAGGTTGGCTTTGTGGAGCCAAAAATATTCACAGGGCGACACGTGGATTTTTGGACAAAAATGACAAAAATACCCTTGTAGTACAACGAGGTTCCTACGCGCAAGCAGCGGGCAACCCTCTTTCAACCAAGACAGAAGTGCCCAAAATAGATAACAATTCAAAGTCCATCTCATCAAATCCTTTCTACAAGGTAATTCCCAAACACATTCCTTTTAAATTATGTTAATTGGCTAATTAATGGGTTTATTGCCTAATTAACCCATTAATTGTCAATTAAACCATCCATTATATCCAAATAACTACAAAATACATCCAATTCAACCCTAAAACACCACATGGCCGGCTATCCCCATTTCAAAACCTAATCCATCACTTTTTTCTACCTTTTTCACAATTCTTTCCTTTTTTATTACCCAATAAATTCAAAAACCACCAAAACATTCATCTTATGTTTAATAGCCAAATAAATTGGCTAATTAAACCTAAATTAAACCTAAAAACCCTAGCCACCTCCTATCCCTATAAATATACTCCCATTCTCACCAAAAAGCTAATTCCAACACTTTGGCAAAAATCCCAAAATTCTCTAAACACTCTTTCTCTCTAAATTCTAACTTTGGCATCGGATGTTCTTCGGCCAAAGCCCCCCTCATTCATCGTGGGCGCGTGAGGCTCTTGGCCTTAACCTAAGGTGTTAATTGTTTTGTAGGTGCAACATCGTCCAAGATCGAGGAGGAAGAAATTTGCATCCACAGGCATTAAGTTCCAAAACACACTTGAATCTCCACCAATAGAAGCTATCTTCTTGCACTTCTAAGATCTTGATTTGTCCGACCTCTTCTTTCTTCAACACCTTTGAAAATGTCTAGCCCCTCTAACCGTCGTTTTGATTTGAACCTTGTTGAAGAGGCAGCCACGCCTTCTCTAGACAACATATGGCGCCCATCTTTCTTATTCCCTACTGGTCCTCTTACCGTTGAGGATTCCGTTATGAAGAATGATATGACCGTTGCGGTGGTGGCCAGGAACCTTCTCACTCCTAAAAATAACAGACTACTTTCCAAACGGTCTGATGAGTTGGCTGTTAAGGATTCTCTGGCTCTGAGTGTTTAGCCCAGCTTTTGAGAAAGCAAGTGCCTCTTCAATTTCTGAGATCGGCCTTCGTGGTCTTTGAGCATCCTAGCTTTTGAGAAAGCAAACGCCTCTTCGATTTTTGAGATCGGCCCTCGTGGTCTCTGAGTAGCCCAGCTTTTGAGAAAGCAAACGCCTCTTCGATTTCTGGGCAGGCGCCTCTTCGATTTCTGAAGCTCCGTCGAGTGCAAATTTTTATAGAGGCTGGCATTAAGTTCCAAAACACACTTGAATCTCCACCAATAGAAGCTATCTTCTTGCACTTCTAAGATCTTGATTTGTCCGACCTCTTCTCTCTTTAACACCTTTGAAAATGTCTGGCCCCTCTGACCGTCGTTTTGATTTGAACCTTGTTGAAGAGGCAGCCACGCCTTCTCCAGACAACATATGGCGCCCATCTTTCTTATTCCCTACTGGTCATCTTACCGTTGGGGATTCCGTTATGAAGAATGATATGACCGCTGCGGTGGTGGCCAGGAACCTTCTCACTCCTAAAAATAACAGACTACTTTCCAAACGGTCTAATGAGTTGGCTGTTAAGGATTCTCTGGCTCTGAGTGTTCAGCCCAGCTTTTGAGAAAGCAAGTGCCTCTTCGATTTCTGAGATCGGTCTTCGTGGTCTTTGAGCAGCCTAGCTTTTGAGAAAGCAAACGCCTCTTCGATTTCTGAGATCGGCCCTCGTGGTCTCTGAGTAGCCCAGCTTTTGAGAAAGCAAACGCCTCTTCGATTTCTGGGCAGGCGCCTCTTCGATTTCTGAAGCTCCGTCGAGTGCAAATTTTTATAGAGGCTGGCATTAAGTTCCAAAACACACTTGAATCTCCACCAATAGAAGCTATCTTCTTGCACTTCTAAGATCTTGATTTGTCCGACCTCTTCTCTCTTTAACACCTTTGAAAATGTCTGGCCCCTCTGACCGTCGTTTTGATTTGAACCTTGTTGAAGAGGCAGCCACGCCTTCTCCAGACAACATATGGCGCCCATCTTTCTTATTCCCTACTGGTCCTCTTACCGTTGGGGATTCCGTTATGAAGAATGATATGACCGCTGCGGTGGTGGCCAGGAACCTTCTCACTCCTAAAAATAACAGACTACTTTCCAAACGGTCTAATGAGTTGGCTGTTAAGGATTCTCTGGCTCTGAGTGTTCAGCCCAGCTTTTGAGAAAGCAAGTGCCTCTTCGATTTCTGAGATCGGTCTTCGTGGTCTTTGAGCAGCCTAGCTTTTGAGAAAGCAAACGCCTCTTCGATTTCTGAGATCGGCCCTCGTGGTCTCTGAGTAGCCCAGCTTTTGAGAAAGCAAACGCCTCTTCGATTTCTGGGCAGGCGCCTCTTCGATTTCTGAAGCTCCGTCGAGTGCAAATTTTTATAGAGGCTTAAGTTCCAAAACACACTTGAATCTCCACCAATAGAAGCTATCTTCTTGCACTTCTAAGATCTTGATTTGTCCGACCTCTTCTCTCTTCAACACCTTTGAAAATGTCTGGCCCCTCTGACCGTCGTTTTGATTTGAACCTTGTTGAAGTGGTAGCCACGCCTTCTCCAGACAACATATGGCGCCCATCTTTCTTATTCCCTACTGGTCCTCTTACCGTTAGGGATTCCGTTATGAAGAATGATATGACCGCTGCGGTGGTGGCCAGGAACCTTCTCACTCCTAAAAATAACAGACTACTTTCCAAACGGTCTGATGGGTTGGCTGTTAAGGATTCTCTGGCTCTGAATGTTCAGTGTGCAGGTTATGTGTCTAATATGGCCTAACGCCTATTTGCTCGAACCCGCCAAGTTGAATCATTGGCGGCTGAAGTGATGAGTCTCAAACAGGAGATTAGAGGGCTCAAGCATGAGAATAAACAGTAGCACCGGCTCGCACATGACTATGCTATAAACATGAAGAGGAAGCTTGACCAGATGAAGGAATCTGATGGTCAGGTTTTACTTGATCATCAGCGGTTTGTGGGTTTGTTCCAAAGGCATTTATTGCCTTCGTCTTCTGGGCCTGTACCGCATAATGAAGCTCCAAATGATCAACCTCTGATGCCTCCTCCTTCTAGGGTTCTGTCCAGTACTGAGGCTCCAAATGATCCCCCTTCGGTGCCTTCTCTCTCTGGGGCTCTACCGACTGCTAAGACTTCTCCTAAGCAACCTTTGTGAAGGCTCCCTCTTGTTTGTTTATTTTGACTAATGTATATGTACATATTTGTAACTTATCGGAGATATCAATAAATAAGCTTTGCTTCATTTCAACGTATTGTGTTAAATACACCAAAACATTCTTCACTGAGTGGGGTCGGCTATATGAAGTCTGAAAAAACACCAATTTATGAGTTTGAAACATAAGGGACCAAACTGATGAGTTGGCAAAACATAAAAGACCATTTGATAAAACTGAAATAACACATATATATATATATATAATAAAAGGATGCGGTTGCTAGTGATATTTTAATCTTTTTCAGGTCTTAGTCTCATCTGATCTGAATCTAATGCTAATGGGACATGGATTGACAAGTTAGACTCGATGATTTGAATCTGTTAATTTGATTATAAATGGATATGAATATGGATCAGGTTTGAACTAATCCGAATCTGATCCACTTACAGATCAATTTTGAGGTCATAAGTTCAAATTCCATTGAAGACATTTTGAAAATTCCATTGAAGACATTTTGAAGTCATGTATTCTTTGTCGCCGAAAAGCTGATCGACTAGTCACCAAATGCCCAGCCAATCACCCAAAAAGTTGAGGGTTGCCAGAAAAGTTGCTTGAAAGTTGGCTGGCTAGCTGGCCACTAATTATCGAAAAATTTAGTGAGATTTAGTGATATGTATAATATGAATTGGATTGACCTATCAATTGGTACCTAAACTAAAAATATGGTGATTTTTCAAAAGCTTTTCCTAGAAATGGTACATCTGAAGGGAGGCATATTGTCTGCCCTCTTTTTCCCATACCTTTCTCATCCCTTCCTATTTTGTGCAGTCACGGTTAAGCCACGTCAACATTTTATATTTCTATTGTTTTTTGTTTTATTATTTTTATTAAAAAAATTAATATAAAATATTGACATAACTTAACCGTGACCGTATAAATAGGAAGAGATAAGAAGGGCACGGAAAAATGAGGGCAGACAATCTGCCTCCTTTTGAAAAGCCTAAAAACCGTTTTTGGCAGCAAATCATTTCAGTGCTTTTTTTAGAAGCACTTAAATATTTAATGGTTAATAACATTTTGCACCTTAGAGCGTCTCCAGCAGTTCTTTAATTGAAACTCTTCAGATGGGAGCAGATTGTCTTTTTTTAGAAGCACTTAAATATTTAATGGTTAATAACATTTTGCACCTTAGAGCGTCTCCAGCAGTTCTTTAATTGAAACTCTTCAGATAGGAGGCAGATTGTCTGCCCTCCCTTTCTTATGTCTTTCTCATCCTTTCCTATTTATACGGTCACGGTTAAAGCACGTCAACATTTTAGATTAATTTTTTAATAAAAATAATAAAATATAAAATAATAGAAATATAAAATATTGACATGGTCTAATCGTAACCGTACAAAAAAGGATGGGAAAGGTCTGAACAAAAGAGGGCAGACAATCTGCCTCCTTTCCAAAACCCGTTTCAAACAGGCCCTTGCAAGTCTTTGTCCAAAAAAACAAAAAAAAAAAAGCCTTGTAAGTTTTATCGTCTTTCTTTCCGGCCTGAGAACAAAACCCCATCATAAACCCTGAAAACAAACACCCGCTCCAAGCTCTCGCCCCTCAAAAATGAGCAGAAGGCGGTTGAAAACTCTCCTCTGGCAATCAATTTCCACCGTATCTTCGTCACCTCTGAAGTCCAACCCCTTTTTCTCCACAAACCCATCACACCCATTCCCTTCTCCATTCAAATCCCACCAAAGTCTAAAACTTTGCTTCCCCAGATTGCTTTGCACTTCGTCGGAGGACAATCTCGATGGTCTGGTCGATCCCAACGACTTGTGCAAGCCGGAGAGTTCCGGAGTTGAGTCTATTTCGGAAGAGGAATTAGCCTCTCTGCGCGATTCGGTGTTGGATACCAGTGCTGGTGGTGGGTCTTCGATGCCAAAATTTGAATCAGCTAAGTTTTCTAACAATGCCATTTTGATTTCGAATGCTATGAGGAATAATATTGATGAGTTTGATGACAAAACCCAGAAGTTTCTTAGGCAGTTTAGGGATAATCTGAATGAAACTCTGGTGGTGGAGGTGTTGAAGCTTATACAAAATCCTGCATTGGGTGTGAAATTTTTCATATGGGCAGGTAGACAAATTGGGTATAGTCACACTGCTTCCGTGTACAACACATTGTTAGAGTTATTGGAGTGTGGTAATAAGAGGGTAGCAGATCATTTTCTGCAAGAAATTAAGGGTGATGATAGAGAGGTGCTGTGGAAGTTGCTTAATGTGTTAATTCGGAATTACTGCCGAAATGGGTTGTGGAATGTAGCTTTGGAAGAGCTGGGGAGGCTTAAGGATTTCGGATACAAGCCAACTCCAGCAACATACAATGCTTTAGTTCAAGTGTTTCTAGAAGTAGATAAGTTGGACACAGCACACTTGGTCCATGTGGAGATGTTGGATTCAGGGTTTAAGATGGATGAGTATACATTTGGTTCATTTGTTCACGCCCTTTGCAAAGCTGGGAGGTGGAAGGAAGCTCTCACATTGGTTGAGAAGGAAGAGTTTGTGCCCAATACTATTCTTTACACGAAGATGATATCTGGGTTGTGTGAAGCTTCACTTTTTGAGGAAGCTATGGATTTTTTGAACAGAATGCGATGTGATTCTTGCATTCCTAATGTTATGACCTATAGGACTTTGCTTTGTGGGTGTTTGAAGAAAAAACAGCTCGGTAGGTGCAAGAGAATTCTTAGTATGATGATCACAGAAGGTTGTTATCCAAGCCCTCAGATATTTAGTTCGCTTGTACATGCTTATTGCAGGTCCGGAGAGTACTCTTATGCTTATAAGTTGCTTAAGAAAATGGTAAGATGTGAGTGCCAGCCAGGCTACGTGGTTTACAATATCTTGATTGGTGGTATATGTGGAAACAGGGAGTCACCAAGCCCAGATATGTTAGATTTGGCTGAAAAAGCTTATGGTGAGATGCTTGATGCAGGGGTTGTGCTAAGTAAGGTCAATGTGAGCAATTTTGCATGGTGTCTTTGCGGTGCCGGAAAATTTGAGAAAGCCTATAAGGTTATCAGCGAAATGATGAGCAAGGGTTTTGTTCCTGACACTAGTACATATGCGAATGTTATTGGCTTTTTGTGTAATGCCTCCAAGGTAGAACAAGCATTTTTGTTGTTTAAAGAAATGAAAAGGAATAGTATTGTTCCTGATGTCTATACCTATACTATTTTAATTGATAGTTTTTGTAAAGCTGGCCTTATTGAACAATCTCGGAGCTGGTTTAATGAAATGATACGAAATGGTTGTGCTCCAAACGTGGTGACATATACTGCTCTTATACATGCATACCTTAAGGCAAAGAAGGTGTCTGATGCTGATCAACTCTTTGAGATGATGTTGACTGAATGTTGCAGTCCTAATGTTATTACTTATACTGCTTTAATTGATGGTCATTTAAAGCTGGTAGAATTGAAAAGGCTTGCCAGATATATGAGAGAATGAGAGGTAATATGGACGTCCCTGATGTTGATAAGTATTTTGGAAGTGATGATCAGAGTATTAGCAAACCTAATGTCTATACTTATGGGGCTTTGGTGGATGGTTTATGCAAAGCACACAAGGTTAAAGAGGCCCGTGATTTATTGCATGCTATGTCAGAAGAAGGTTGTGAACCTAACCATATTATTTATGATGCTCTTATAGATGGATTTTGCAAGTATGGGAAGCTAGATGAAGCACAAGAGGTGTTTGCTAAGATGTCAGAGCAAGGGTACAGTCCAAATGTGTATACGTACAGTTCTTTGATTGATAGGTTGTTTAAGGATAAAAGACTGGATCTCGCTTTAAAAGTCTTGTCCAAAATGTTAGAAAACTCTTGTGCACCAAATGTTGTTATCTACACAGAGATGATTGATGCCCTGTGTAAAGTTGGAAAAACAGATGAAGCCTATAAACTTATGCTGATGATGGAAGAAAAAGGGTGTTATCCAAATGTTGTGACTTATACTGCAATGATATATGGCTTTGGGAAAGCAGGTAATATCGAAAAGTGTCTTGAGCTTTTTAAACAAATGAGCTCTAAGGGTTGTGCTCCAAATTTTATTACCTATGGGGTTTTGATAAATCATTGCTGTTCAACTGGACTACTGGATGAAGCTCGTAAGCTTTTGGATGAAATGAAACAAACGCATTGGCCTAAGTATATGGCAGGCTACCGTAAGGTTATTGAAGGTTACAATAGAGAGTTCATGACCTCTCTTGGGCTTTTAAACGAGATGAGTGAATGCGACACAGTGCCAATTACTCACATATACAAAGTTCTGATTGATAATTTTGTAAAGGCTGGAAGGTTGGAAATGGCTCTTGAGCTGCTTGAAGAGATTTCATCATCTTCACCGTTTACATGTGTGAACAAGAATATGTACACTTCATTGATTGAGAGTCTTTCACATGCAAATAAGGTCAGTAAGGCACTGGAGATGTTTGGAGACATGATGAGGCATGGTGGTTTTCCAGAGCTGGATACATTCTTTCATCTTATTAAAGGGCTTATTAAAGCTAACAAGTGGGATGAAGCTCTTCAACTATCAGATAGCATATGCCACATGGTTTGTCTCTCTAATTTGTCTTTTCTTCCATACTGTAGTTTTCAACTATTTATTTTACATAAAAATGTCTTTTTTCTCTTTATGTATATTTTCAATCATTTCTTTTCTTTTATTTGCTTCTATCTTTTAGGTGGGAATATGATACATTTAATGCCCTAGAAAATGGAAAAAAAAAAAAAAATCCTATGCCCTTTATTTCTTAGGCCTTTACCTTTATTTCCCTGAGCCTCACAATCAAACCCTAACCAATAAACCTCAATCCAGTGCTCAAACTAAGAATTGTGCTTGGAGGACATTTAATTTGCGTTTAAGAAATATTGCATAGATAAAACGTTGAACTTCTTCTATGTTAATGGTTTTAATTTTGATAAGTGTTGAATTTAATGTGACATTTTGTGTTGTGTGAGCACATGCACAATTAAGGAAGCACGGTAACAAGTCTATTTGTTTCTGTATCAGCATGTAAATTTTATGACTGGCCATTTTGCATCTGTGCATGGACCTTTATGCCATTATTGACTATTCAAAGGAATGAAATAAGAAAATGTGATAATATTGGAACTCATGTACAACTACTTGAATGAATTATTTGTTTGTGTATCTTATATTGAATGGTTTGGCTGACTTATCTGTTCAGGAGGCAACCCAGTGTCCGGTAGTTCCTCATCATGATGCCCTTTATTACTTGTGAAGCGAATTTTCTTTAAGTTGTATAAGATCGGTGGTTACTTGAACAATCTATCAGTCAGCAGTTTTGTTTTATCTCTCAACTTTGCCTTACTGTCTTGGTAGCATTTTGCATAAGTGTCTTTTGATTTGTTGTGGATGAGCTATCTTACTTTGCTGCAGTATGTGATTGAGCTGCCTCAAGCTGTAAATTTACGGTATCGACCTATAAGTTGTCTTTTGTGCTTTTTTTAAGGTTTGTAAAGACCCTTCTGTAGCATTTAGAGGATAGTCCAGAATTTTAGTTTCATTTTGAAAAGATCTTTGAAACATAATGATCACACAGATCTTTGATACCACACCAGTAGCCAGTAGGATTGCTTCTGCTCTCTAGTTCTTACAACTGGGCTTCTTTTTTTTCTTTTAAAAAGAAAAAAAAACCGAATTGTTGATGAGATCAACAATTTTTTCTTCTCCCAAAATATCTATTTAGTGACTTAAGATAATATGCTTTATTTATTTTGTTTTATCGATTTTTAAAACTATTATCAAGAGATAATCTATGCTTGTTTGGTGCAAACTTCAAAAGTATGGGAAGCTGTAATCTGAAACAGTTGGTGCTGCTGATATCTAATTGCCTCTGCTTGTCACTGTAAATTATTTGTTTTTGTTTTTCATTCTTCTTATATATCTCAATTATTTGCGCAGGATATCCATTGGCATATGCAAGAAGAGACATCTGACAGAAATTAGTGTGTTTTCTAGACCATCGTTGTTTGTTACTCATGCACCATCTGCTGACTCACTGGACCTGGTGACCTGGTTGACGGTTCTGTGGAGGAGTGGACCGCATTTCTATCAGAGTCCGTGTGCAAGCATATGCAACATGAGGATGTGAATGACTATTGCTTGCTTAATGAAGTGACTACATTTTTACTTCACTTTGTGAAGCGGCTAGAAATTCAAGAAAACTGGAACTTTTATCTCCTACCTATTCAAAGGAGGTAAGTTATCTTATATAATTTCATAGCATGGTTACCCCAAAAATCTTGAGAATGCAGGATCCAATACCAATACTTCCCCATGATGCCTTGATGGATATCAGATGTTCCAAATCTGTATCTTGTTGAGTTCTTGGAATTTTTTATTTTTGGGTATGGGATGGATATGTGTGAGGCATATATGATGGATACACAAGGGATACAAGCAAGAATAGAAGGGGTTATTTGTAAAATTTCTACAGAAGAATTGGGGGGTATGATTGAAAGAGGGCATCTTAGTGGGCATTTTAAAATGTTAAAGGGGTTAATATGAAAACAAAACAGTTCGTTAGAATATTATTTGATTGTAATATTCCTTGTGGTCTTCAATTCATATCTAGTTTTTGGAAAATTGTGGTTTTGCAGTATCATCTCACATTCCCTAAATTGTATCCATACAACATAGTTTCGATGTTCTGCCCCAAGGCTTTCAGATGATGCTGCTTAATGAGATTATGCAGCAGGTCTCTGCTGCTAGAATTTATTTACTGCTCCAAAGCCTTTCATGGTGAATCGTCAAAAGGTCAGAAATTCAGGTTTTTATTATTCATATCTCTGCACTTGTTTAAATGTATCATTGTTCAAATACTTATGTACTAGGTACAGATAATTCACTATGTTATTTGCTACTTCATCATGGCAAGAATGATATTGTGCAGCTCTATTACTTACTGCTGTTGTTGCTTGTTGAGTGAGCAGGTTGGTGACGTGGAATTTAGTTCACGGGAAGTTGTATTTGATTTCCAATCAATCATGTCAAGGTAGCAGTGTTATTAAATATCCATTTCGCAGTTTTGTTGGTATCTAGGATATGCATGAAAACAAAACAGTATTGTTCGAAAAACAGTTTACAGGATGAAATTTGTGTATGAGCTTGAACTTATTCTGCCTAGTTACTCTTACAGCAATTACTTATGAGTTATGAATTGAGTGTAATAAGGATTATGTGATCAGAGCTGCGTTTGGAAATTCTCCGCAAGATCTCATAGGGTGTCTAATTTCAAATTGCAGGCATTATACAGATGCAAGAAGCCCCAGATAAACTTCCTCGTAATGACAAACGATGCCAGAAAAGTATGTCTGGGATTTGCTGTCACAAGCTTCCTACTTGTTAACCTTGAGGATAGTCGTTGATCAACAAACAAAATACTGTGCTTGAATTTATGAAGTAAGTCAGGTATGAGATACGATTGGTCTCTTATAAGTTATAAGGATGTCTGATGTCCTCATTTTAGAGAAGAATAACTTACAATGTGCTCTAACGATCCGAGCCATCAATGTATTGAGTTCCTTTTCAAGATTGTTCCTGCTAAGAAATCAACAAATGTGAAATTAGTCGTCTAATTGTCATTAAACAAATCCATTTACAAGGACAATGTTTTTAAACATAGAAATTATCATGATGATAGTCAAATGACTAGGCGATGCATGTAAATCCTTGGTTAAGCAATATCTTTGTTTTAATGCACTTACTAGATTCTTTCAACTCTCCCAGACCCTGCGTAAAGCGGGAGCCTTGTGCACTGGGTACGACCTTTTTACTAGATTCTTTCAACTCCCGCAGTTATTTTGTTCTGTTGCACTTTTGGGCAATACTTTTTGGATTCTTTCAACTCCTGCTGTTGTTTTACTTTTGGGCTAGCTAGTTTTGGATTGGATGAATTTCAACGACCATAATTGCTTTTGTTATCTGCATCGATTTAATAGCATGTGCCCATTTTGATTGCAGTGCATCTAACCAACATGAGGAAACTATTCAACAACATTTCGAGTCATCTTGAATTTCGGTTTTCATGTACGAGGTGATTGCAAGGGAAAAGGTAGGACATGGTTCGAGTCACACTAGCAGCAGCAGCAGCATACCCATTTTGGAGAATGTGAACAGATAAACTCCTCTCCATAGTCGGTCCACCATTGCACTGTTTTGGGAAAACATGGAAAATGTTGAAACACCCTTTTGACAAAATTTGGTTGTGGTGCTCTTCTGGTTGCGGGTTTGTAATTTTTGTGCTACGATGTCTTGGCTGAATTGTGACCACTTGGTCATTTTCTCTAGTGTTGCTGGCTTGGTGCTCTTCTTTCGGACAATGTTCAGCTATCTTCGACCACTCGCTTGTACGAATGTTGTACGTGACCAAGTTTTCTTTTACACATAAATACAAGATATCGTTGTTATTTGGATCCAAAGCAAGCAGATTAACATGCGGGCAGCGCCGGGGCATATGAGTGCCCAAACAGACAGAAGAAGCGAACATTTGTCGTAGTTGCACGGTTGCAGACATCCTTGGGACGTATACAAAGCCCAACTCCAGGCTTCTCATCAGATGCAGTAAAACATTGTTTATCAATAATACCGACACCAGTTGATTTAGTCCTCTTCTTGTTCTTGTACTTGATGTTGAACAGATCAAATCAAATCCAATAAGAAAGGTCCCTTCCTTTGTATGTCAATCCAAAGGAGGGGAGAGAATCCTCCTCCTGTGATTAGTCGATAGACGGCTACGAAATTGTGTCTACGTCCTCTCTCTTTTATTTTCTTTTTTGGCTTTTTTGCCAAAATAGTTCATGAGAATTGCATAACTTCTTACTTTGGTCCCTGAGATTTGAAATCGATAGAATTGGTTCTTGAGTTTGTCCACCTCAATTTTTGTCAAATCATTTTGGTCCTTCGGTGAAAAATTATGTTAAATAAGATCCAAATGATAAAATTACCCTCAATATAATAAACAATAGGTCAAAATGATCGATGGTAGACAATCTCAAGGACCAAAGTGAGGAGCTAGACAAATCTCAAAGATCATTTTGATTAAAAAGCCTCTTTTTTTTTTTTTTTTGTTAACTTGATTTAGGTGCGGGAATTTGATATATCTACCTTCAAATGTAATTTGTTGTCTGGAAAATAATTTTCGCACACCTATTTTCTTCTTCAACTTATCCGTGCTGATTTGTTGTCCGTTAATTTCTTTTTTATTTATTCAATTCAAATTCCGCAAACAAACAAGGGTGGCATGGGATCATTTGTTGTCCATGACCACCAACAACTTCAAACAGCTAGGCAAATTAAATTACAACCTCCTTCTTTACTTCTTATATTTTTATTATCATCCTTATCTTCCTTTTTTTATCTTCTTTTGTGCAACTTTATTTTGCGCATCAAGCGCTCAATGAAACGCCAATGTTGACAAGTTTGGCAGTCTTTAACATTATTTTACAATTTCCTGTAGTCACTCTTGATAAGCCTTTACATATCATAGTAATTGTTAGCATAAGCCTTTAGTAAATGTTGGCAAGAATCCACAATGAAGTTTTTTTTTTTTTTTTGTCAAAATCATGATCCCATTATTTGAAAATCCTGACTCCGTCACTACAACGGTAAGTTAGGGAATATAAAAGCAGTGTTGATCACACACAAATAGACTAGCATGTTGCCACCACAATGAATATGTTCTTACTATGATTCCAAAAACCTCAATAATCTTGTTCCACAATCAACCCTTTATAATGTCAACTAGCTCTAGTTTTCCACAACAGAGTCAGAGGCATCAAGTTCAAGCACAACGGTAGGCCTCTTTCCTCCGGCTTCAGCTCTGAAAAAATGAATCTTCATTTCACTTCTCTTTTCGTTGACAAGCTCAAACACGGCGGTGTCCCCGGGTGAAATGTTGTTCGCATGCCAACATTTCAGCAACCCTTCCGTCATGAGCAAACGACTGCCACAAGATTTTATCTCTTCGACCCGGAGCTTAACTTTCCATGTTTTCCCATTCGGGTCTGTAAGCCTCACCCTCTCCTTTTCAATGAGACCTTTTGCTACAGCTAGCTTCTTGGGGACAGTCTGCAATATGCTGGGAACATCATCAGTGACTAGTCGGTTGGGTATAGCGCTGAGATGGCGTGCCTTTCCCAGGATCTATCGGGGAAGGTTTCATAAACGTAGTTGGCTTACAAATTGGGTTGAAGAAAGTACTCACCATTCGATAAGGAATCTTCGGCACAGTTGCTTTGAAGCATGTTTTATACTTTGATCTGAACGCGATGTGTCCATCTGATGTTTCTTTCACATCAGCAGGTTTGTACAACATGCCTGTAGAGAAAATAGCACATTCGAACACATTGTCTCCGAACGGATACACATGCCTGTAGTGTATATATATATGTGTATATGTATATATGTATATACAAAACTTGTATAACTTACTTTTCTTTCGGTTACGAATACTAGCTAGATTTCCAGTTGTATTCTTGGCAGCTACAGCTTCCTCCTTTTCACATCCGGTTGGATTATAGATTTTGACATCAAACTTTGTGTCGCCATCGTACTTAAAAACCAAGAAATTACCGATTTCTAAGAGATGATCCTCAACGAAATTCTGCCAACCCTTGCGGAAGAAGAATTTTCCATCCTCTCTTCCTTCCAAACCTACTGTCCATGATTCCCCACTCGGGCCTCTAAGAGTGCATTTGCAGGGAGGCCGTCCATTGAAATTCTCCATGAATAAAGGTGGCAGACACTTCAAAGTATCATGGTATCAGAAAACAGAATTGTGGTTGTATGACATCAAAATATGAAAACAATTAATATAACACCGCCTAATTCTATGCCAAATCAGAAAAGCCATAGCATGTGTGGCTGAATCAATCAAAATGAATGAAAGATCGTAAGTCCGAAGAGAAGTTTGTTTGATTTTTGCGGTTACAAAAGTCTGATTTGTTTCAAATGGAAGGTTCATCAACATATTAATCACAAGAAAACACTTTGTAATTTTGCAGCGGAGTCTGAACAGAAGCGTTTGTTTTGGCCTTGGTAGGCAGGGTGCCTAACAAATATATATTACAAAGAAAACATGCTCACTAAGTAAGAACCAAGAACAAGAATCTAAAAGTTAAAAGGCATGTCTTCTCCAAATGCCAGAACAGAGAAAGAAACAGATAGTATTTATCATCCATTCGCTCCTGCAGCGATCGATTTGAATTAATCTCAAGTGAAAACGAGGCTAGTAAAGGGGCAGGATGTTACCAAATGCCGAGAGAAGTCATCATGAACCAGGGGCTTGAAAAAGGATCGAACTCTCCATGAAGGATTTGTTGAATTCCTCGCCATTTGAGGGGAAAAGCTTTACTGAAATTCCGAAAATGGGTGATCATCCACTTCAACAAGTAAACTGAAATCCGAAAAATATTGTAACTATTTTCAACAAACAACAACTTCATAAAGGAGTAAACTGGGGAAACAAGATAAAAGTACTCCTAAAAGAATGTTTGAAATAGATTATCTGCATGCTGTCTAACTATGAAGCTTACACTGGTTTCATAGATATACAATACGATGATAAAACATACATGCAGATTCTTCAGGGGATTTTCTGGGAGAGAAGATTGCCTCAAGACACTATCCTTTGTCTGACTAGTTTTTCCTGGGAAACATTGGACACGAGGGAGGAAAAGTAAAACTTGTGAAGGAGGTAAAAAGTTCAGCCACCAACCATCATCAGTTTCTTTTAATATTCCTCCCATTTTTAGCAATCAAAATTGACATGCATTGAATCATTTGCATGTGCATTATTTGCTCCTTTGGGATGATGAAATATATACAACTGATATGGAAACTGTAGACAAATTCATGGAAATGTGAACTTTTCCAGTTTTGAACAAGTGATCATCTCACCTTCCCCAATCAATTACTCCACTTTCGACCAAAAAATAAATAAAAGGAAATAATTAAAGAGATCATTAGAAAGAAATTTAATTTTATCATTAAGGAGACAGTTATTCCTACTATTTGCTCAAAAAATTAAACTTATATCAAGTTTAGTCTGTAATTATGCAAGTTTTGGGCCTTTGCCCTAAGAAGGCAAGCATGGACTGACAGAAACATAGTTACTCACTAATCCGAAAGCTAAATGGAAATGCACTTGAACAACGTCAATCCGATAAACTTAAAACAAAAAAACAGAAAGAAGGAGTCATCATCGACTAGGGCCTTGAAAAAGGATCGCACTCTCTGTGAAGGTGGCATTTGAGCTGAAAAATCTTGGCTAAGTATGATCGAGCTGGGAGAGAATTTGAGGTGAGGGATTGCAGCTGATGCCAACTCTGCTAGCTGGCTGGTGATCTTTGTCAAACTATACGTGTGAATTACATAAACAGTCACAAATTTATTGAAGGGGGGAATTACAAGTGCACCCACCATGCATGTGCATTATTTGCTAATTTGGGATGAATTATTACTGCATTTAATAAATATTTAATTGATCTGTCTAGGTGGGTTTTTCCAGTTTTGTATTGCCTTGAACAAGTGACTTTTTCAAAGTGAAGAACCAAATTTAGCATCGATGATGCATTGGATTCTTTTTTCCTGTCATCTCACCATCCCCAATCAATTACTTCGGCCTCATCAGATCACGTAATTATCTAAAGATTGTTTATTCAATGCATGAGAATTGTCATCAGCATTCTGAAAAAGTTAACAAGCACTGCTTCCTCTCTTTTCTTTTCTTTTTCGACAAGGGAGGAGTTACGCGACGTCTAACTCCTAAAGCTTTTCCGCTCAAATGGCGAGGAAATCAACAAATCCTGCACGGAGAGTGCGATCCTTTTTCAAGCCCCTAGTTGATGATGACTTCTCTCGGCATTTGGTAACATCCTGCTCCTTCACTAGCTTCCGTTTTCACTTGAGATTAATTCATGATCGGTTGCTGCAGCAGTGAATGGATGACAAATACTTTCTGTTTCTTTCTCTGTTCTGTCATTTGGATGAGCATTGCCTTTTAACTTTTGGATTTTTTTGTTCTTGGTTCTTACTTATTGAGCATGTTTTCTTGGTAATATATATTTGTTAGGCACTCTGCCTTCCAAGGCCAAAACAAACACTTCTGTTCAGACTCTTCTGCAAAATTAAGTGTTTTCTTGTGATTTATATATAGATGAACCTTCCACTTGAACGAAACAGACCTTTGTAACCGCGGAAATTAAACAAACTTCTCTTCGGATTTACGATCATACATTCATATTGGCTGATTCAGTCACACATTCTATGGCTTTTCTGATTTGACATAGAATTAGGCAGTGTTTGATTAATTGTTTTCGTATTTTGACGTTATACAACTGCATTTCTGTTTTCTGATACCATGAAACTTTGAAGTGTCTGCCACCTTTATTCATGGAGAATTTCAATGGACGGCCTCCCTGCAAATGCACTCTTAGAGGCCCGAGTGGAGAATCGTGGACAGTAGGATTGGAAGGGAGAAAGGATGGAAAGTTTTTCTTCCGCAAGGGTTGGCGTCATTTCGTGGGGGACCATCTATTAGAAATCGGGAATTTCTTGGTTTTTGAGTACGATGGCAACACAAACTTTGAGGTCAAAATCTAATCCAACTGGATGCGAAAAGGAGGAAGCTGCAGCTGCCAAGAATACAACTGGAAATCAAGCTAGTATTCGCAACCGAAAGAAAAGTGAGTTATACAAGTTTCGTACGTGGTAAAAATAGAATTTTTACGGGATAAATTCCTATTACTTCCTTGAAATATATACAAATACAATCCTTGTTCTATAAGGAAACTAAAATTAAAAAGGACACAACAAATAATCCTTCCTAAAAAAGGATTCCTAATATTTACATTATATTTACATACTTATTTTTGAAGACTCACGTTTACACTCCCCCTCAAGTTGGTGCATAGATATCACACATGCCCAACTTGACAAGTGAGTCACCAAACTTTCGTCCACACACTGCATGAGTAAGAACATCTGCAAGTTGCTCCTCTGACTTTACAAACGGTATTGATACAATCTTCTTTTCAAGCTTCTCTTTAATAAAATGTCCATCCACCTCCACATGCTTCGTTCTATCATGCTGCACCGGGTTATCAGCGATATCTCTTGCGGACTTGTTGTCACAATACAACTTCATAGTCTCCTCTAGTTTAAACCCAAGTCCTAAAAGAAGTTTTCGTAGCCAAAGGATTTCACAAATCCCTTGAGCCATTCCTCTATATTCGGCCTCAGCTGAAGATCGTGATACCACCTTCTGTTTCTTACTTCGCCATGTCACCAAATTTCCTCCAACAAAAGTAAAATACCCAGAAGTAGATCGTCTATCAGTTACATCACTTGCCCAATCTGCATCAGTAAACCCTTCAATTCTCAAATGCCCGTGTTTCCCATACAATACTCCTTTTCCAGGTGCCGACTTCAAGTATGCCAAGATACGCATAACAGCAGCCATGTGATCCACATTTGGTGAATGCATGAATTGACTCACAACACTCACAGCATAAGCAATATCAGGACGAGTATGAGCCAAATAAATAAGTCTCCCTACAAGCCTCTGATATCTCCCTTTGTCAACCGATTTCTGACTTGGATTCAAATCCAAATGATGCTTCTCAACAATAGGAGTCTCTACTGGCTTACATCCCAACATACCAGTCTCTTTTAATAAATCCAGCACATACTTACGTTGAGACAAGAATATACCTTTAGATGAGCGAGCAACTTCAACTCCCAGAAAATATTTCAAATCTCCTAAATCCTTCATTTCAAATTCGGCTGCAAGGTTTCCTTGCAACTTGGACATCTCATCAACATCATCTCCTGTTATAATCATGTCATCTACATAGATAATCAAGGCTGTTACTTTATTTTGTTTACGTTTTACAAATAACGTATGATCAGAATGACTCTGACGATATCCATTCCTTCTCATCACTTGAGTAAATCTATCAAACCATGCACGAGGCGATTGCTTAAGCCCATAAAGTGACTTACGCAAACGACATACTCCAGTATTCCCACCGCCCCAGGAGGAAACCATTGCTATATCCAGGAGGAAAATCCATATATACTTCTTCCTCCAAATTCCCATGGAGAAATGCATTCTTCACATCAAACTGTTTTAATGGCCAGTCCATATTTGGCCAGTCCATATTTGAGCTAAGAGAACACGTACCGTATTCATCTTGGCAACCGGGGAGAAAGTCTCTTGATAATCCACCCCATATGTTTGAGTATACCCTTTAGCCACCAACCTTGCTTTGTATCTGTCGACCGTTCCATCAACCTTATATTTAACTGTAAATACCCATCGGCATCCCACGGTCTTCTTTCCTGCGGGTAGCATCATCACCTCCCAAGTATTATTTTTCTGTAATGCCAACATCTCCTCATCCATTGCTTTCGCCCAGTTTGGATCTTTTAGAGCTTCCTCCACTCGAGTTGGTACTTGAATAGACTCCATATTGCTCACCAAGGTCTGACGTTCTAGTGCAAGCTTGTTACATGATACATAATTGGCTATCAGATACTTCACCTTCCCTTCAGGAGAAAACCTATCAGGAGGCACACCTCGATTTTGTCTCGGTGGCAATTTATAAGTACTTACATTATTACTTGGATCAGCTACATAATCATTTACAATACTTACCTCAGGAATATTCAGAGAAGACGTATTGGGCGTCACGTTGGAACCAGAGAGAGAGGGCGTACTGGACTCAGCAAGAACAAGTGTAGTGGCTTCGGCAATGGACTGTTGAGCACTAGGACATTCCTCGGCACTAGCTAGCCGAGCCTCTAGCCGAGGTTCTCTGATGGGCTCGGTCAAATCACCACCATCATCTGAGTTGTCAACACACTCGGTACTCTCTGTACATTCGACACCAACAAATCCCGGTCTTACACGATGTTCAATAATCACATCTCCCCCTAGATCCAACCAACTCAGATTACCAATATTATTCTCCCCCTGGTGATCTGATGTAGAAGGTACCGAAGTGTAGAAATATTCTGATTCAGAGAAGGTCACATCCATGGTTACATACATATGCCGGGTTTCAGGATGGTAACACTGATACCCCTTTTGGTGAGAAGAAAAACCCAGAAAGACACACCGTAATGCACACGGATCCAATTTACTACGATGTATTTTCTGAATATGAACATAAGCCACACAACCAAAGACTCGAGGGGTGAGAGTATTACGGGACACCACGGGAGCATGGTGTGTGAGGACTTGAAAAGGCGTTTGAAAACTAACCACCCGAGAAGGCATACGATTAATAACATACACGGCATAGGTAACTGCTTCAGGCCAAAAACGTGGAGGAACGGAGGCCCCAAGGAGCAAGGCTCGGGCTGTTTCCAAAATATGGCGATTCTTACGCTCTGCAACCCCATTTTGTTGCGGAGTATGCGGACACGTGGTTTCATGGAGGATCCCTTGATCACGTAGAAAACCCGACAACTCAGAATTGATGTATTCTCCTCCATTATCAGAACGGAGAACCTTGATAACAGAAGAATATTGTGTCTGAACCAACTGAGCAAATGACCGAAATATGTCACTAACATCACTCTTATTTTTCAACACATAAAGTCATGTCATACGAGTGCAATCATCAACAAATGTAACAAACCACCGGATTCCCGAAGAAGTAGTAATTGGAGAAGGCCCCCAAACATCGGAATGCACAAGATCAAATGGAAAAGGTCTTTTATTCATACTAGGAGGAAACGAAGCACGATGGCTTTTAGCAAGAATACATACTTCACAATGTAAGTCTGATTCATTTATTCCACTAAATAAACTAGGCACCATATGTCTTAAATATCTAAAGGATGCATGCCCTAATCGACGATGCAATAACCATACTTCTTGTAGATTACTATCACGGAACACTCGTACTGCATGAGCTCTGCCAGGAACGACATCATCCACATAGTACAACCCCTCTCTCTTAGTGCCACGCCCAATTATCTCCTTGGTCTGAATATCCTGAAGTAGACAAAAGGACGGATACATTAGAACAACACAATCCAATTGTTCAGTAACCTGTGGTATAGACAGTAAATGATGTGATAAAGATGGAACAAGTAAACATCGGTGTAAAGGGAGAGAGGCCGTGAGATACACGGTGCCAGCACCAATAACAGGAGCACGGGTACCATTGGCGGTGGCTATATATTCCCTGTGAGATGTTGTCATACATTGAAACATATTCTTATCATATGTCATATGATCCGTTGCACCAGAGTCCAGAATCCAACATGTATGATGCTTAGTATCAGCGGCCAAAAGACCATGCCCTACAGTACCTGCGGTGGAGGGCGAGTCACCATGGGTAGAACGAGTCAGCAAGGATTGACTCGGGTCATCACCAGGAGTGTCGGCCTCCTTTGTTGATGGTGGGGCTGTAGCTAGGGAGGCACGGTCTCCATTGTTCCCTGCACTTCCACGCTCCTTTGCACGCAATTTCTTCTTCAATTCTGGAAACCAATCAGGCACCCCATGCTTAGCAAAACACGTGTCCTCAGTATGACGGGTTTGTCCACAGAAAGTACACTTCAAATCATCTTTATTTTCTCGGTTGAAGGGACGAGAATTTAAAAAGTGATTAGAAGAATTATTAGGACGAGGGACAGCAGCTGGCCGAGAAATCATGGCCATGGACGGCGGCCCACCTTGGTTGTTACTTCCACCCATCATAGTAGCATGTCGTTGTGCTTCACGCCGAACAACAGAAAACACTTCCTCAACAGATGGTAAGGGTTGAGTACGTAGAATATCACTCCGTACCTTATCAAAGATATCATCCAAACCCGCCAAAAAAGCATACACACGATCAATTTGAATCTCTTCTCGAAGGGTCTTGAGATCCACAGCACACTCCATCTTGATTGGTCTCCTTTGATCTAACTCCTGCCAAACGGACTTGAGGTCAGCATAATACACACCAACTGGCCGGCCCTCTTGACGGAGTCTGAAGGATTTAACCTTCAGTTCATAAATTTGAGAAATATCCGAACCATCATAATAGGTCCGAGCCACCTCTTCCCAAACTTCTTTCGCAGTACGCAGGTGAATAAAAAATCCCATGATAGCAGGTTCCATGGAATTGATTAACCACCCTTTTACTATTGCATTCCCTATCTCCCATGTCATATATTCAGCACTATCCTCAGCAGGCTCCTTGGTACTCCCAGTCACAAAGCCCTTCCTACCGCGTCCACCGATGTGCATCTCCAAAACCTTGGACCAAAGAGGATAATTTGATCCATTTAATTTCACGGTGTTTGGTACAGCAGACGCATCACTCTGAATGACGACAGGATTCAATACTGGATTATTTGTTGAGTTACTGCCTTCCAACTTCAATACGCCACTGCCTCCTTCTGATGCCATTCGGCTTTACCACACACACACGGCAGAAACAGCAAAAAAAAACTGTGACGATGAGTCACCACACTGCTGCGCAAGCAGCAATACCACACACACACGGTACTTTGCAGAGATCAGTCAACCACACACACTGCTGCACACGCCAGCAAGAATACACACACACACGGCAACACTGTTTTCTGCATAAGATTTGCAGAAAAACAGCCAACCAAGCACAGCGGAAAAACTAGGGTTTCGGCAACACTGGCTCTTGATACCAAATAGAATTTTTACGGGATAAATTCCTTGTATTACTTCCTTGAAATATATACAAATACAATCCTTGTTCTATAAGGAAACTAAAATTAAAAAGGACCAACAAATAATCCTTCCTAAAAAAGGATTCCTAATATTTACAATATATTTACATACTTATTTTTGAAGACTCACGTTTACAGTAAATGCTTGTTTCTTTCTTTTCTTCTTATGTCATGTGTTACTGTTTGGAGACATTGTGTTCGAATGTGCTATTGTCTCTACAGGCATGTTATACAAGCCTGCTGATGTGAAAGAAACATCAGATGGACTCATCATGTTCAGATCCAAGTATACATGCTTCGAAAGAGATGTGTCGAAGAACCCTTATCGAATGGTGAGCACTTTCTTCAACACAATTTGTAAGCCAATGATATTTATGAAACCTTCTCCGATCCATGGAAGCGCATGCCATCTCGGCATTATACCCAAAATGACTAGTTATTACGCTGCTCCCTGCAATCGCTTAGAATTAAACACACGCCATGCACAACCTAACGTCACATGTGTTTACTACCAGATCGATAAACTATTGGGTTGATCTGGGTTTAATTATAAGCGATTACAGGGAGCCTCATTGCATTGGTGACTAGTCCTTTTGACGTAGGTGCCTACGTGCGCTTCCTTGGGCCGTGACACAGGTGACTGAGCATTTTCTTTCCGTTTTTTGTGTTCCGTCCTTGATATTGCAGACTGTACCGAAGGAACTAGCTGTAGCAGTAGGTCTCATTAAAAAGGAGAGGGTGAGACTTATAGATCCAAATGGGAAGTCATGGAAAGTTAAGCTCCGGCTCGATGATACAAAGTATGGTAGCGGCCATTTGCGCATGACGGAAGGGTTGATTGCATGTTGGCGTGCGAACAACATTTCACCCGGGGACACCGTAGTGTTCGAGCTTGTCAATAAAAAGAGAAGTGAAATGAAGATTCATTTCTTCAGAGCTGAAGCCGGAGGAAAGAGGCCATGTCTTGTACTTGAACGTGATGCCTCTGACCCTGATGTGGAAAACTAAAGCTAGTATTTACGTTACATTAGACTCTCGTATCGCAATATTCATCGGTTGTAATATTTTAAACATGGTCGTACCCAGTGCACAAGGCTCCCGCTTTACGCAAGGTCTGGGAGAGGTGAAAGTCGGCCATGGATCGACAAAATTAAATAGAGACGTGCAAAATGAGAAATGAGTGTGGAAATCATTTTTTTCCGGCATCAAATTACTTTCGAAGGTAGATACATCGAATTCCCGCACTTACAAACACTCACAGGGTGGGTAAACAAACCAGTCATTTGACAAACCAAACTAAATCAGCTGGTTTGGTTCCCATTTTAATCAAAAGCCAAGTTAAACGTCGATTGGTATGATAAGCTTTCTCAACATTCTATGCTTCCACGTTTTGCCTGTTCATGGATGTGCAAAGTTTTTTCAAGATATAGTTAAGCTAAGGTGCAGCAGCAAGGAATGTCTTTGAACCGGAAAAGTCCCCTTAGACAAGAAAATTTATGCAAACAATAGGCTGTTTTTTATTATTGATGATAGAATATCGATGTTCATATAGTACAGATACAGGTTCGAATAGGCTTCCCCTCGTACCACACGCGCAACCTTGAACAAGTATTCATCTACTCATTCATAACAATAAGAACAAAGGTAAAAAATTATAGGTCGTTTGGAGTCTAATCAAACTTTACACATCCATCGTTATGCTTTGATCATTTTCTTCATCTGCAAACACGTTTTTATTTCCGGTGAGGCCAAACCAGACACTTCCTGCTGTCCTGCAAATATCACAGCGAAAATGGTAAGAGTCAGAACAACACAAGTTTCTAAATACTAAATGCTAAACGTCTTTCGTTTACAATACGAAACTTTTGATATTTAGAATTTTATACTAGCTGATATGTCAAAACATGTTTTAGGAACAAAAGCATGGCAAACAACGTACATATAAAATGAAAGTTGTGATCTAATCCAAAATGTTCGTTATCTAATTAGTGTTTAGAACCAGGTCGCTCAAGCAAAAGAAAAAGCGAACAACTATTTTGTTCAAACAACTATCCAAATTGGTACTTCACCTCAATTTTCCCCAAAAATTCATCCAACCATGGACCACTCCTACGCTTGGTTTTTAACAGTGTGAAATACATATTCACACACGAGATGTTCTTGTGAGAGTTATAATAATGAGGTAATACTTGCTAAAGATGAAAGAGAAGATTACCAACATGGTTTTTTTTTCTTTTTTTCTTTTTTTTTTTTTTTGACAAAAGATAGCGTTAGCAAGTTAAATTGTTAAATGTTAAAGGGGAGGAGGACCCACACCAGGGTGCATAGGCATTATTGCCTCCCGTCATTGCGGATAGCACCATCTGCGAAGATTAGCAACATGGTGGAAGGGATCATATTGTCATTCGGACTTTCATAACCTTGGATGAAACTCTGACGTAAATGTCACCTTATATTTCATATTCAGGAAAAAGAAACCAAACTGTTATTGTGCTTGTTCATCTAAAGAAGATCAAACAAGAACGTATCAAGAAAACCCAGATCTCTAATAGACTAGATAAACTCCAATTCTGCAGCCGGCTCGATTCCCTTGCAGAACATGTAGGTCAAAAGGGTAAATACCTAAAAGGGAATAACTTAACAGAGCACAAACTAGTATCATTGTTCAACTCTAAGGTCCCTTATGGTCAGCATGTGAAAACACCACCGAAGACCCGAAAAATTATCCTACATTTAAAATGATCTAAACCATTCTATCATAATAAAAGGAGGTATAGCATGAAGCAATGACATGCAGAACTGGTCCCGGCATTCGGGATTTAAATGTCATTTACCAAAACGAATGTTTTTTTAATAAAAATGTAAAGTCAAACACCAATGCAACCGACTGTAATGTGTATCATTTCTCAAAGAAACATACAGACCTTGATACTCAAGAAGATTCCAACAAATTCTGGATGTCTTTCTGCACAGAGCAAAGATAAATAAATCAGCAGCTGTTGTCTTCATTATCGCCAAAGCAAACAAACAGATAATCACAAAAACCACTCTGACCTCAATTTTAAGAGGTGATGTCACAGGAGCATATCTCTCCACAACCTTCCCTTCTTTGTTAACCAGAAACTTCGTAAAGTTCCATTTGATGCCACTCCCAAAGATCCCACCTTTCTGTACCTTTAAGAATTTGTAAAGGGGTGCCTCGTTCTTCCCATTCACCTCAATCTACAATGACCACAAGTAAACTAAATTAGTTGTGCATGAATTAGTTAATCTAGTCACTTTATATGTGTAGTAGTCGTTAAATATTAGAAAAGCCATCAATCAAAAAATTATTTAAGTAAAACCGTAGAACCAGTTCTCTGCATTTTATTTGATGTATGAAATTTGAAGAGCACATAATCTCTGTGCACTTGTGTGGAGATACTCGTTGAGAATATCTACCAACAACCATATAGCACCAAGAACAAACAAAAGATTTCTATTTAGAATTTTGCATACGATTGCTGACATACTTATTGTTTATTTATTTTCTCCAATATAAGGATACCTTGTCAAAGATTGGAAATTCAGCTTTAAATCTAGTGCATGCAACTTCTTGAATCTCCTCATTGTTTCCCGGCTCTTGTCCTCCAAACTGGTTGCAAGGAAACGCCAAAATCTCAAAACCTGCCAGAAATTGAAAAGTAAAACCCCCATGGATAAGTATGAAACACATGAATCAACAAATTTTTGGCATTGCTCTGCAAAGGTTCACATACCTTTGTTTTTGTACTTTTCATACAAAACACTTAATTCCTTGTAGTTGGATTGTGTTAAACCACTGCAAAATTAATAAAAGAGTGAGCCACGAAGGACAACGGAGGTTACAAAGGTGAAATGCATGTCGAACACTTAATTCAGCTTAGAACAACATGATTCACTAGAAAATTCATCATCTAAAAGTTCATCTGAGCATAGAAAACGTGTACAGTTACCAGTGAAATGCTCTGAAGAAAGATGTGTTTATCAAGATCATAGAAAAAGGAGATTAAATAATTAGTCTTGCCTTTGAATCTTGAAGGATGGACACCGTAGTACCAGATAAAATTCTTTTCCATTTAGGGGATCTATTGCTTGCTACACAGTACAATTTTTTTTTTTTCTTTAAACAATCTGATGAAATTTTACCAACTAGTGAACACAACTAAGATTTCGTGACAAACTTCCTGGTATCAAACAGGAAGACAATAACTACAATTTTCAAAAGGAATTTTTAGATTCAGATTTTTTATATATTTTATGCTAACTAAAGTCCATGGCTTTCAATCTGTCAATTACAATTCAAGTAGAAATATCACTAAAATATTACATCATAACAAAAGAAAATAAAACGAAAGTTACGAAAAGAACAAGGAAACATTTGTTGAGATTATCAAACAAGACCTATGTTACATACAATATGAAAAGGACAAATTAATGCATCTGTGATAAAATGCGTTATCCTAAATACAATACAATTTAGACCATTTTACAGATCATCTGAAAGTAAGAGAAACAATCTAATTTAACTTTCCACATCATGATAATGTATGTGTAGTCCGCATTTTTTTCATATATAATCTCCGTAAAATTCAATTCGAAGGTAAGAACCATGTATTCGTTCATAAGGAGTCGGACATTTAAGGAACATATATGCATAACATGAAAGCTGAACCTGTATTTAAACTAGGAGAAATCATACTTAATAAAGACTTAATATTCCAAAAAGAAAAATATTCTTAATGAGAGGATCATACCTAATTAAGTAATTATAGTATACAACTACAAAAATGTTCTTTATAAAGCGGTATTTCTTTTTTGTTCCAACTTTGAAGCATACATATTATCTCAAACGTCTATTTCCAAATGTTAAATCTCTCTCTTAAGAGCACCAGCAGATATTAAAACTACAAAGAAAAATTCTTTAAAGCCCTCCTTAATTCCCCATAAATTATGTTTAAAAACAACGCTCCACGGAAAAGGTCGATAGAGATTTATTACCACAAGATTTGTATCATGAATTTCCAAATATGCAAAGAAGCACACGAATGCAGGGTGTCACGATTAACATGGAATAGGGATACAAAAAATGTCAAGAAATCATTCACAGAAGAGATCAAGTTAGTTACCATTTTGAAGCAACATTCACCATTTTGAAGCAACATTCACAATCAGAAGAACCTTCCCACTGTATTCACTCAGATTTACGTCGTTACCATGAATATCCTGCAACCGAATTCAATGCATAAACAAATATATTTCAGATCAAGTTGTCAAATAGAACAGTCTACAATTTGAATGTACTCAATCAGTATTGAATCTGAAATTCCAAAGTCATTTCATCAAACATAATGCAATATAAGATATAAGTTATAACTACAGAAATTTGTAGCTGTCTCCTAAAACTCCAGAAGAAGCATCACAAAGCAATTGATCTGGCCGGAACGGCCTATGCTTTTGTTCTTTTTCTCTCATAAAACTTCAATATATTTAATTTCATATCTGTAACAACAAAAATCCGAAAAAAATTCAAAATATCCAAAAAAAATCATAATTCAAAAATCGAAATGTGAAGAGAAAAAAAATTGATACTAAGAGGAAAAGATATGAAGTATTTGGGGCTATCGGAAGATATAGTGCAAAACCAAACGCAGTGGCGTTCTAGGATTCAGAGCCGACCCTATTTAGTGGGACAAAGCTTGGTTGTTATTGTCGTTGTTATGATACTAAAGTTAACGTGACCACACAGAAAATCAAAAGCAAATAGAAGGATGAAACTATTCACAAACAGAGAAGAACCACCTCAAAAGCAAGATGCCAGAACTACGGCTCCATAGTCCAACTGAATGGATTCACTACTATGTTGCTTTGCAAACAATTAAACTTAATATACAAAAAGCTCATATCTTTAATTTCCATTAGTTTCTCCCCAGATTTTCTCAGCAACCAAACATAACATATGAGAATGAAACAGAAAAGAATGAAAACCCAGTACCTTGACAGTGAAGTCGTAAACAGATTTGGAACTTTCTTCAGCCATAATTCGAGGAGAAGAGAATTGAGAAGTGTAAAAGTAGCAGAAGAAAGCAAAACCCAGAAAGAAGAGAGAGACCCAGTTGGTGAATTTCAACAAACGCATGCCAACGCCTTTCAGCAATTGGGATGGTCCTCTTTAATACGGCATTGACAATTTTGCCATTTTTTTTTTTCTTTGTCTGTCAATTATTGGCATTTCTACTCTGTTTCCTTCTTTTTTAAGCGTTTCTGTCTCCATTTAAAATTGGTGGAGGAGGGATGGGTGGAGAATTTTTTGGTGTAATGGGCGATGAATAATTAATTTGGCATAATTTTTCTCCATTTAACATAAAAATTAAATAAAAATGTCATCATTTAGCATTAGCTTTTGCTCTATGATATTAACATGATATCAATAAAATGAAGGATTTTTATCACAACTAGTTTCTCAAATTGACCATACCATCAGTGTGATCTTTGAAAATAAAAATCAATTAATGTATTTCCTGAATATGAATGTCACGAATCAATATAATCATTTCATTAAAATTTCATTATATTTCTGTTAATATGCTTATGTGGCACATATGTGAATCCACAAATCTATTTAATATTTGCCACATAGATAAATCATTAAAACCTATACAAAAAAACTAAAAGTTGTTCAACAAAAAGAAGACACCTTCTCGGCTTCTTCTTCTTCGAACCAAACCGCCAAACAACAATTCTCGTCTTATTTTATATCTTTTTTTATCGTAATCCCTTTGTTTTGTTTTGTTTTTTTTTTTTTTTTGTTTACATTACATTAAATAAAATTAAAGTAAATTCCCTAAATCAACCACCAAAGCCAATCAAGGTGTGGGGAGCAATGGTGGTGCCAGAATTTTTCTTTTGGGTGGGCTAGCTAAAAAAATTAGGGTTCTTTAGAAAAAGATCCTTAAAACTCTTATTTTCCAAACAAAAACCCACCTAATATTAAATATCTAAATAAAACCCAAATTTCAAATAGAGTGCCATGTAGACAAATATATAACCAATTATTATCACATATTTACAACTTATGCCACAAAACCCTAATTATGTCAATAAATATTATTACTCACCCTAATTATGATTAGTAATTAACCCATATGGAAAATTTCACCTTTCTTGTATGGTAAATATTAGGAATATATATATATATATATATATATATATATTACTTTAGCCATCTTCATAAACAATTATGGGCACATTTTTCATATGGAAAAAAAATATCCTTTCTACAATCAGTTATTTTGCATCAAATAATAATATTGTTTGATAAAAACAACAAAGAACCAATTAATATTCTTTTATGTTGTAGGTAAATTATTTTACCTAGATTATTACATACATTAGGCATTTTTTGTTTGTTATCATATATCCTTGTTAAAAATAATTTAAGGAAAACTAATGAAAAGGGCTTGAAAACTTTGAGTTTTAATGATAAAGACAAAATAAAGGGTAAAGTGAATAGTACCAGGATTGACTTTTTAGTGTGAAAACTAATGAAAAGGGCTTGAAAACTTTGAGTTTTAATGATAAGGACAAAATAAAGGGTAAAGTGAATAGTACCAGGATTGACTTTTTAGTGTAAAAATGTGGTTTTTCGTTAAAGTGAACAGTACCGGGTGCTTTTCGTTAAAGTTCCCAATAATTTATCTATATTTATATGTAAAATATAAGTAAATTAATTTTGAATCAAATAGCATTTATTTTGTAGGTAAATTAAAATAGTAGTTCCATTATTTTGGTAAAGTTAAACAGTGCCTAAATTATTTCGTAAAAATTAAACCAAGACAAATTATCTCTATTAAAATAAAACAGTAGATATTCGAATAAAAAAAAAAAAAAAACAGTAGCTACATTATTTTCTTATAAGATTAAACAATAGGTAAATGATATTGTAGGTACATTATGTTTGTAATATAAAAAAAAGAAATTGAAATTTATAAACAAAAAGTAGTATATATATTATTTTTTAATCAAATTTCCTTTATTTGTAGGTGAATTATTTTCATGCATTATTATATATATTGGGTACATTTTACTACTAATATATATGTGTGCAATAATTTACCTATATTATTATACAAAATATAGATAAATTTATTTTGAAATCAAATAACATTTTTTGTTTTATAAGTAAATTATTTTGCATGTATCATTACATATATAGGGCAAATTTATTACTAATACACATGTCCAAATAATTTACCTATACTTTTTAAATATAGCTAAATTATTTTATAGTGCTCTTTCATATTTTCATTTGGTAAGAAAATGACAAGATTAAATTAAAATTGTCTAATTTTATGAAAATTTGAAAAACAATTACGAAATCTTAAGGAAAGTATAACATTATTAGTTCTTTTTTGCCTTATCATACAATTTGTTATGACATATTATTATTTTAAATATTAATGCATTTTTTCCATTAATCTCTCCTTTCAAATCTGCATAGAATTAAATGTTTACATTAAAACTGTTTTTAGGGGTATTTTAGGCATCTGTAAAATGTAAAATGTGTAAAGGCAAACAAAATTAATGAATTTGCTTATGTGGAACCTAGTCATTGGGTTTTATTCAGATAAAAAGACTATGTCGGGTTTTATGTAAAGAAACTTGAGTTTCAGGGGCTAAAATTATATTTTCAGAAAAAAGTATCCTAAAATCAAATGATATATTTTTTTTGCTACATACATATTGTATGCAAAAATTTAAGTTTAACTTCTGTATTTGTATACTTAAAATTTACTTGGCATGAACTCAACAAGCTTTGCATTTGCAAAACTTAAAAATTACAATGAATCATCAAATTTACATATATTTAGATTCAAACACAAGAAGAAGGTAAAAAAACTTGACATCTCAATTACAATCACACAACTAACACAAATCAAAACAACGAGAGTAGATGTAAAGGCAATCTTAAAAAAATTGATTGAAACTAATATAAAGCCTACTGAATCAAAGCAGAATAATCTTGAACAAAATGGCATCACAATTTCCATGATAAGTTTTATATTTCTAGTTGTGCTAAATACTCGCCGAGCTAATTTCATTAAAAAATAATTCTTCTTGCAATTTTTTGTTCATTTATTATATTAGACTATGCACTAAAATATATATACATATGCCACAAACTCTCCTGGGCTATAGCCCATCGTAGCCTTTGGTGTGGCTACACCATTAGGGGGGCGGAGGGGGAGGGGGCATCTCCAATCGGGTTGGCCATAGGGCCATAGTTCAAAGGATAGTTCTTTTGACACAAAATTCATCTCTAATAGAGGTCTGGGTCAAAAAATCTTGGAACTCACAGGGCCAAAATACAGCCATATGGCCAACGGGTTGGCCATCTTTAGCCAGCCAACCCGCATTTTCAGTTGGGTCCAGCTGGATTTTTTTTTATGACGAAATTTAAAAATTCTAATTTTTTTTCTATAAATACCTAAGACATTTATACACAATTTCTCACATCATTTTCACCATTACATACTATCTTACCTCATTTTATTCAATTATTCACATTCTATTCACCTTAGACACTCTTTTCATACACACCCTTCTCTTATCTCTTCCAATAATTTTTCCTTTAATTTATTCAATAATTTTGAAATGGCCACACGTCTTCAAGTGGTACTTAAAATATGTCTCGATACTTATTCATTTAGCAACAAATGACACTCAAAGTATATTTGTAAACCTTATTTTAATATGGTAGTTTAATTCAATTAAGCAATAAAATTAAATGTAACATCCCACATCGCCTAGGTGAATGAATCTTGTAAGTCTTATATGTATATTCTCATCTCTACCTAGCACGAGGTCTTTTGGGAGCTCACTGGCTTCAGGTTCCATCGGAACTCCGAAGTTAAGCGAGTTCGTGCTAGAGCATTCCTAGGATGGTTGACTCACTGGGAAGTTCTCGTGTGAGTTCCTATAAACAAAACCGTGAGGGCGTGGTCGGGGCCTAAAGCAGACAATATCGTGCTACAGTGAAGTCGAGCCTGAGAATGGTGGGGCCCGGGCAGGGATGTGACATTAAAGAACAAACTTAAATTAATAAATTATTGAGGGGACTAAAAAATAACCTTGGAAATGATATAGAAACATGGCTTAATACTATTCATTAAAAAATAATTTCTTGTAGGGCTAGAATCTGGACATAGGCTAAACATAACACCTTCGTTGGAGATCGCCTAAGAGGTCTTAGGTCAAATTCGCGACGAATTTGAATCACATTATTGTTAGCTCGTTGTGAGGCTAAACCCACATTCCCCGCCCGGGCCCTACCATATCTCAGGCTCGATTTCACTGTAGCACGATATTGTCCGCTTTAGTGAAAGCTTGACATTATAGATGTGCTTACAGGTTATTTTTTTTATTGATGTTAAATTTGTAATTATTAAGGAGAGTGAGAAGAGTTTGAAACTATTACAATAATTTAGGTCGGGCAAATAGGTCGTGTTGTGATGTTTGTATCGTTTTCGTGTCATGTCTGTTATGTTAATGGGTCGTGTTGTGTTAAACTCCTTATCTTAACAAATTCTTAACATGTGACTCAATAACAACCTGATTCATTAACAGGTCATATCGTTTTGTATCAGGTTAACTAGCCATGCTATAAATTGTCATGTCTAATGTTTAGATTTGGCAAACAATATCTTATTAGGTTCTTAGCAGGTAACCCGATAACGACCAGACTCGTTAACAAGTTAACGTGAAGCTTGCTATTTTTGTATTGCTTCGTGTCGAGTTAATGGGTCGTGCAATAAATTGTCATGCCTATGTTGGATGGTTGAGTGTTGCTCGTGATTCACATATGCTTATGGAGATGTTAGTTTTTTAGTGCATATTTAAGTTATACATCTGAACAAAAGTTGTTAGATATTGTTGAAGAAAATTTGTAATGGCTCTTATTCAGATTTAAAACTAAATATACATTAGAGAAAATTTACTTCAGCTTGAAGGCTAAAATATAGTCCTTTGACCTTATTGTCCTTCTAGTAGGCAACCAATTTTTTTTAAGTTTTGTTATCTAACCAATATGTCAAATTAAACTATTAATTTGTTACATTATAAAATAAACAACTAAATTAATAAAGGACATTTAATTCATTATTAAATTGACACCCGTTCACCTTCCTTGATGAAAATAAGAAAGAGGTAGTATAATTGCACCGATCAACTCAACATTAATTATAATAAATGATTACATCACTATCAACGTCACATAGGAATCGACAATTCCTTGGAAAATGCTAGTGTGGTCTTTACTGTTATAGCGTTTGTGGATTTTTAACAGCCAACATAATCATATTCGAATCCTTTTGGTGAGGATTTTGAGGATATGTGAATCGTGTCCGTTCATCGAACATCGTGCGGTTATTTTTTGTCAAATACTGTTTATGTGTATTTTTAATTAAAAATATTGAAAATGATTTTTGACCGTACTATGTACGATGAACGAACACAATTCACGGATCCCCCAGATCCTCACAAATAGGATTTGGCGAGGATCCGAGTTATTTTAAGAGCAGTTCCACCGTGGGCTATTGTCCGATGGACTGGCTCTCAAACAGGGCCAGAGAGCCCGAATGGGGAGGTCCAACGTGTACTGGCAATGGAGCCTGAGCGGGCTTGAAGGAGAGGCCCCACAGGAGTTGCCAGCCTGAGAGCCTGAAGGCTACGTGACACAAGGCTGACATCTGGGCGACGTCAACCATCATCTCCTCTGCATTTTTTGCCGCCATATATTCCTGTTGACCTAGCTTTGTCACAGCCCGTCCCGGAATTATAAATTCCGAGGACGTGAAAGTACGAAAATAACCTTAAACGTGACAAGGTGCGTAAGTGTGAAGTTGGTTTTAATCTAAGTTCATAACTTTTGGTTAATTAAAATATCTTGTGGGATAAGAACTTAGAATTAGGTTTACATTTATTGTATTAATTTTAGTTAAGGACTGAGAAGGGGCCACGTGGGATCCCCATTCCTTATTTCCCTCCCTAAAACCCGTAACTCCTTCTCTCTCTTTTTCTTCTTTCATCTCAGAAAACTCTCTCTCTCTCTTACTCTCGAACATACGGACTCACACACAACCTCAATCAAACCTCCACGAACGTCCAAGTTAAGACTACCATCGTGATCCTGAGGACTTCACGAACACGGGGATACCAAATTCAGGTGAGTTTCATTTCGAAAAACCCTAGTTTTTAAAGCCTCGTGAAATGGCACTGTTCATGATCTTCTAAATGACTACGTTTTAGGCTAAAACAAGCTCACCGTGAGCTTAAGGAGGTCACGAGGAGGCTCGGAGTGCCTAGTTTGAACAAAATGGACGTCGGGATCACGAGTTCCATGAAGGCCGGTTTTTGAGAATTTACCCTTTCGAATTTCAGGCGTTTTTACAAGTTTTTGAAGGTAAGGACTTCTTCCGCTCTTAATTTAGAGCATGTAGGAAGAAATTTGAGTGAAAATGGTGAAGAAATGGCTGAGAAAACTCAAGTTGCAGGTTTACCCAGTTTCCGGCGCCGGCGATGGTCGCCGGAGCTGAAGGTTGAAGGTGAAGGAATATTCCGTCAAGTTTGACGGAATATTCTGACGCCGTTAGTCAGTTTTAACGGTTACCGTTAGAAGTTAACAGAATATTCCTGACGCCGTTAAGATTTCCGTTAGGGTTACTGCGCGTGGGCCGCGCGTAGACCCGTGGCCTCGCCGGCGCGTGGGGGCGCGTGCATGGTCCAAAATTATTTCTAAAAATATGTACGGGTTCGTGACGTCGTAGGTCACGGTGGTATATTCATATACCCAAATTGAGCAATATATGAGGAGTTATTAGCTAAGAGTGGGATTATGCGTTAAATAACGTCAATTTGGTTACTTCTCGTATAGGCAAGGATTATACGGACGTTGGGCATGGCTAAGGGAGGCTCAGGGACCTTCGACACGTCGATGTATTCAGTGAGTGGGCAGTTTTGTTTTCCGTATACATATATACTTGCCGTTTTCCCAGAATTTGAAAATGCATGAAATTATGCTTTAAATGAAAATGTATAAAAGTATATGAGATATATTAGTTGAAATGCCATGCATAGAAGTATGTGAAAATTATATAGAATTATATGAAAAACGTGAATCGAATTGCCATGCATGAAATAATATGAATTGATATATGATGCATATGTATGAATTGGTGCGGCGGACGCACAGGTGAGTATCAGGTGAGTATTTAAATACTGTTATGATGATGTTGATATATATTGAGCTCAAATCCTGCACCATGGTTTAGTGCTTATAGTATTCACCGCATCGCACGCTCGCCTTGGATCTAAGTAGATGCTGGTCGCACAGTCCACGCGGAGTGGGTGCGACGGGCCAGTCGTAGAGTGTTAGTGAGATTTCGACTGGTGGGTGACCTTAGATTATGTGCACAGATGATTGATGAGAAAGCACTAGAGCGTAATATTAACCATTAAGTCGTACAGACTACATTAGGTGGTTCCGACTTATGTGCAGAAGGCCGTACAAGTTACAGCTAGTGACTCCGGCAATAGGCCGTACAGGTCACAGTTGGTGACTCCGGCAGAGTGAGAGTGATAGATTTTGAGCTCTAGGTTCAACCGTACAGGGCTATTAGAGGGCCTCCGGTTGATTACTTTCTTGCACCTGATATGATTATTATTGATGCATCCATACTTAACTGTTGAATTAGACATGGCATGGCATGATTGATAAAGAAAAATGTTGAGATAGTAAAAATAAAGTTTTGAGAATATATATGTATATTTATATTTTACATTTCTGGGAAAGTATACAAGTTTTACGGAGAGGGGTTACAACGTTTTGAGAAATGTTTGGATTTGGAAAAGAATTGTTTTACTGACCCACTCAATTTTGGTTTTGCGCCCCTCCAGGTTCAGGAATCAGAAAGGTGTGGTGACTACGAGGAATTCGACGGTGTTCTGACAGAATGGATCAGATTAGGACTCACCTTCGGGTGTATCAACTTATAAATTGTATAATTAAAGCTTCCGTACTGTGCAAATGGTTACGTCACTCTCACGTGACGGCCAGCATGCCCTCCTTCGGGACGGGGTGTGTCAAGCTTTCCCTCTTACTCTCACTCCACAACAACTTTGTCCCCATCGCATACATCTCGAGTGCTGGGAATAATCTTAATTCGATCGGCACCAAGATCTATATCCTCTCGATTAAACCCGTTTGCTCGAATTTTAAGAACCCAATTTCTGCATCATCGACATAAGCAGAGATGACGGGCCAGTGTGAGAAGAAGGTGGAGAAGTTTCAGATGGAGGAGGAAGTGGCGGTGTGTTTGGCGAAGTACATCGCCGACTTGTCGACCAAGTTTGTGAAGGAGAGGGCGAAGTACACGTTTTGAAATTAACCAGGCGACCTAGCTTCACGACACCTTTATGCACCACACCGTTTCACGAAGCCATGGACTACAGAAGTGCAGAAAAAATTAAGAAGGGCATTCATGTGTGCTCCTCTGCTGTGTGTCAAAAGTGCAACAAAAAAAAATGATAGAAGTTTCAAGAGATAGGAATAGATTTACAAAAGAAAAAGATAAATTAATAATATAATATTAATTTATACAAAGTAAATAATATAATATTAATTATAAATAAATAATACTAATATTTTATTACCGATTGTCAAGACTATTTAATGTAACGGTAGTAATACAAAAATAATTATTATTAATTAAAGACAATTACTTTTTGCTTGGTGGCTTAAATAATGAATAGCGTCTAACAGCTCAATTGCAGATAATTTAAGGAGCCGGATTCTGTCGCCTCCTTTTTGTCTGCCCTGAAATCCCTTGTTTAATCTGGACCGTTCATCCAGATCCAACGGCTAAGACCAACGCCACCTCCTGCAAGCCCTTAACAGAAGCGAATATACCTCTCTCCTCGCCGTCTCCAGCATCTCAGACTCATCAAGCATCACCAATCCAGTGGACCTGTTCAGATAGTCGGGGAAGCAAGCTATTGGAAGCCGTTGAGCACGGTGGAGATTTTCTCAAGGGACGGTGGTGGACGGTGGTGCGGAGAAGGTGGGATTTCAGGCCATCGATTTTCATTCGGTTTCACGGACGTCGTATTTTCCGTTTATAGAATAAGAGGGAGAAAGATAAGGAAACAACAGTGCCATCGCCTTATCAATTATTCACTCACTCCCCATACATATCGAATTTAATTATTCATTCTTTAATGTAATCAGAACTGGTTGAATTTCGTTTTCCAATTGTTTATTTGCTTGTTTTATATATTAATCATTCCTGTGTTCTTGCTGCTAAACTGTAGATTTTCATTTGCAATTACAAAACTGTAACTTTTTATTTTGTTTTATCATTTTTCGCTCGTAACATAACTCCGATCTTACATTGTCTGTCCCAAGCCCGATAAAGGAGGAGGGGGATGGTGTGAGGAAGTCGACATCCGCCACTCTTATTTCACGTTGAATACTTATGATTTTTCGCTCGTAACATGTTCGATAAAATGCCTAGCTCAGGTTGTGTTTAAGAGTAATGTCATGTTCGTTGTTTGACAATCTGCTGGAACGTTGCGTTTGTTTATTCCGGTGTTGATTTTTCCTTTTGCAGTTGCGCGTCTTGGGTTGAGCACACAGTCGTGCCCTTTAGGCTAGCATAACGGGAAATGTAGAGAACTCAAGAACGCTGCTCGTCCCGTCCATATTTACCAAGAAAGGGTCATGGCCCAGTGTCTTGTGATTGTTAAGGTAGGCGGGTTTGGTTTCCTCCGTGGATGTCTGCAAGAATTTAACCATCAGCAAACGCGTGGTCTTGTGAATGTGAAGTTGAAATGGGTGAAAGATAGGGCATTGGATTTTGTTGTGGCTTCTGAGAGGGATCTCAAGGCTGCCAGCATTCTCGTTTCCGTTATTTCTTCCTCACCTCAGTGCAGCCTCCCTGTATACCGGCTCACTTGTCATCGGGGGACAACTCGGTCTTCCTCACGATCTGAAGCTTGCTACTTTTATTAGGAGGTACCCATCTGTTTTTGTTGAGTCCTATGATTTTTGGGGCGGAGGCGCTCGTGTCCCATGCTTTGGCTTGACTCCTGAAGCCCTACAACTACACCAAGAGGAACTCAATGTTCTTGAGCAGAATCGAATGGATTTCATTAATAGGCTTCGAAAACTGCTCATGCTCACCCAGGCTTGGGCCCTTCCCTTACAAACCCTTGACCAACTGAAATGGGACCTGGGTTTGCCATATGATTACGTTCATTCTGTGATTCCATATCACTGCGACCTGTTCTCTTTTGTACACCTCCCTGATGACCGTGTTGGCTTGAAGCTCTTATCCTGGGATAAGGACCTTGCTGTCTCCCAATTGCAAAGGAACTCTGCCCGACAACAGAAGGAAGAAGACGTAAGAAGTGGCTGTTAGCTTTTCCAGTTGGATTTACAAGGGGTTTTGGATTGAAGAGGAAATGCATGGAATGGTTGAAAGAGTGGCAGACCCTCCCTTATACCTCTCCGTACTCCGATGCCTCCCATTTAGATCCTCGTACAGATGTATCCGAGAAGAGGATTGTAGGGGTCTTTCACGAGCTTCTTCATCTAACTATAAACAAGAAAACTGAACGTAAGAATGTGAGCAACCTTCGCAAACCTTTGGCCCTACCTCAGAAGTTCACTAAAGTTTTTGAGCGCCATCCAGGTATTTTCTACATTTCAAATAAATGTGCCACTCAAACTGTCATTCTAAGGGAAGCCTATGACCGTCAAAAACTATTGCAAAAACACCCTACGGTCGAATTGAGGGAAAACTTTGCAAAGCTGTTGAGAAAAGGGTTCCTAGATAGGAGCAAAGGTTTGTACAAGAAAAATAAAGGTGATGGAATAGATGTGGATCCATATGCTGATGGTATTGGTAATAACCAATTCAGTTCTGAAGAAGAGTCAGATAATTTGTTTTATGAGTATGACTCAGATGAGCAACATGAACCTAGGATTCATTTGTGAAGAGGGTTGGGTCGGGGTGATTCATCGCTTCTGGACACCATATGTGGGATCAGCCTCATGATCACTGGCAAAATTTTGCAAATAATGGTAACTATGTTTATTGTTAACCTATAGAAATTTGTGATCTTTCTGATATGACTCATTGTTACCTATCATTCTTCACCTTCAGTGGCGATCTTTCAGTTAACGTTTTTATTTCCTTTACTGAAATGGTGATAATGTCAATCAGTTTATATTTTGCAGTCTTGCTTCAAATCTTCTAATTACACTCCACCTCTGTGTTTTGCAATTGAGCCTATTGAGGTATTTGTTTTCTTATCTTTACTTGTCCTCTTCTCTATTTTTGATCATTTAGAGAGTACTGTGCAAAAAATTGACATAGATGATTACAACAAACAGTGCTATTTTATTATTTATTCTCAGATCAAATTCTTCCAAATTACCTTTTCATTCTTGAATCTTGATCTTTGTTTCTCTACTTGTCTTGATTTCAGACGATTTTCTCTTCTGCATTCTCATTTTTTTGCTATGCAATCATGGTGACCGCTTCTCAATTGACAATTTTGCAATACGTAATTGCAAATCTCATTCAAAATGTCACAAATTCTGTGAATGTCAAACCCGATGACGACAATTATCTGAATTGGAATTTTCAGCTGGAACTCTTGCAGCCTTTCTTCTAGGTCACAGGATTATTCATTTTGTAGATGGGTCCAAAGCATGTCCTCCTCAATTTCCTACTGGGTTAGAAATCAATTCAACTTGTGAAGACACTGATGCATATCAGATTTGGAAGATGCATGACAGGACCCTGATGGAGCTGATCAGTTTTACTCTCTTCTTCTGCAACTTCCTGTGTTATAGGCAGTGACAGTGCTCCAGAAATGTGGATTAATCTCGGATAATGGTTTGCAACTGTTACTTGAACAAGTAATTTGCAAAAAGATATTTAAAAACGTCAGCAAAGGGTCCGAATCTATCATTCAGCATCTTCAAAGAATTACAGAAGCAAGAGATCGTTTATTTCTGTCGTTGTTGGTGTGAATTTTGCTGATGAAGATAATGTAATTCTTGCTCTAATAGGGTGTCAGCCGAACACAGCACTTTTATTAGGTATGTGTTTAGAGGCCAGGAAAGTGCAATTTCTCTCAAAGATTAAAGGTCTAGGTTGCTTTCTAAAGAGGCAACTCTTGATCAGAGTGTGAAATCCCCTTGCTCTGTTACGGTAGCGAAGAATCAATCTATGATGCCTAAAGCTTCATTCTTTCATGCTGGTCCCAAGTTTTCAGAAGGCTAATCATTCTATGGCGGTCACCAGGGTTCAAGTTATAGAGTTCGTGGCAGATGAAGATTTTATTTCAACACTAGCAGAAGATTTCCTAGAGCGAAGCCTGCATCTGTTCATGGTAACCTCTGGTGCTGCTAAAGCACAGTTTCCTGTTTCAGAAAAAGGGCACTATGCTTCAGGTTGTTATCGTAGACATGCAAATCACTCTTCTCAATCGCCTTCTGTTGCATCGAACCATGCCATATATGTCGGAAGATTGGGCATACTGCTCCCGTTCTCATTGATTTTTCACAACGACGACTACACAAAGCAACGAAAGGTTCCTCCTCCGACCATCATTGACTGCTACGAGTGCCAATGCAACGATTGCACCATGCTCCTGCAGGATTGCTGGGTTACGAGTTCCGGTGCCACATAACGTATGAATCATATGATGCAGATTTCTCAAATTCATCTTTTGGCAACACCATTACCATATGCCTCAAGCAATTACAACTGCCAGTGGCTCAGGTTTCTGAAAGATGTATAGTTTCTTCAACCGGGAACTTGCATCTCATACTGCATATTTTTGTTCTTTGTTCACTTTTGAAATTGAATTCGTAAATTTCATTTGGTTGCTCCAATTATTTGAAATTTATTTATTCACATAAAATTTGTGCCCCTCGGTTGAAGGATGGTTATCTTCTTTGTTATTAGTATCATCCCTTTTAGTGTAACGATGTATTTACGTTCAGAGATGAGGAAGTTATTTGGTATCGAACTCGTCATTCACAATATTCGAATCTAAGAATTCTCAAGAGGAGTAAGCGGAGTCAGTGATACCTCCGAGGCAGTGGGTGTCATGTTGAGTTTGAAATCAAAATTCATCATCTTTCCTCTCTACGATACCATGAGAATCAATGCATGCATGCATCTAGACCGACGAATTTTTTTTCAACCATTTGTATTATGACATAATGGTCGGTTTCGGGCACATTGAAGGGGAATGAGGATCCTTTTCGGATCCTTTTTATGAGGATCTTGGAGATCCTCCAATCACATCCGTTTATTGTATATCGTGCGTTAAAAAATCATTGTAAATATTTTTATTTAAAATTAAATATAAATAATATTTGATAAAAATTGATCACACGATATACGATGGACAAAAACGATCGGAGCATCAGGATCCTCAATCGAAAATGTTTTGGTGCACTTTTCTTTTTAACGGACGGGGCGAACAAAGTTGATCCCAGTTTTATTAGCAAGTTACTGGTTTTTATGTTTTTACGACTTTCAAAACTGTCACAGCCGTTGGATTTGTATCCTTAATCCCAGCCCTCCATAGTGGTGGGGTCCATTGAAAAAGGTCGCGTGAAAGAATTAAGAACAAAACAGATAAACCCTAAAACTTAGCCGCCAAGATAAACTACTACGCACTCTCTGCTTTCTCTCGTAGCTCTCTAATGGCGACCGAAACAACAGAGCAATCCCCGCCGGCCGACCAAGTCCAGTCGCTTTCAATATCCGAGCCTCAGGCCGATGACCAACCCTCCAGTTCATCAAATCCAACCACTTCGTAAGCTTCGATCAGTGTATTTTTTCCTTTCCGTTTCTAAATTCGCTTGTTGATCTGAATTGTTTTCGAAATTGTGTGTTTGTGTGGCTGTGATTTTTCTGAAGATTGAGCTTGGAGGAGAAGTACCAGATCGTGAGGAGCGTGGCGGAGGAGTGTATTCAGGAGGATGAGCTTCGAAATCTGCTGGCTCACAAGACTGAACCCATCTGCTACGACGGGTTCGAACCCTCCGGTCGAATGCACATTGCTCAGGTTTTACATCGGTTTTTCTAGGAATCATTAGATGTGTAATTATAAAACGTAATTGATATGAATTGTGTATTTGTGAATTTGAAAAGGTTCTAAATTTGAACTTTGTAGTGTGTTCTTCGTGTAAGTTCATTCGGGTTATAGAAGAATTTCTTTGTGTTTCGAAAGAAAGATTGTAGTAACAAATTTTAACGGCGGATATTTGTTTGAGCATTGATTGTTTTATGAGGTTTGAATGGGTTATTGTGTAGGGAGTTATGAAGACTATTAATGTTAACAAGCTGACATCTGCTGGCTGCCGAGTGAAGATATGGATTGCAGATTGGTTTGCGCAGTTGAACAATAAGATGGGGGGTGATTTGAAAAAGATAGAGACAATTGGCCGCTACATGATTGAGATATGGAGGGCTGCGGGGATGAATTTGGACACTGGAAAAGTTGAGTTTTTGTGGTCGTCAAAGGAAATTAATGCGAGAGCACATGAGTACTGGCCTCGTGTGATGGATATAGCTCGGAAAAATAAACTTCCGAGAATAATTAGGTAGCTACTGTATTGTGATGCTTATTGTGCCTAACTCCGTGGACCTTGTACTTATATGCTTTTTTTCTTCTATATTTCCAGGTGTAGTCAGATTATGGGTCGAACTGAGCAAGATGAGTTAACGGCAGCCCAAATTCTCTACCCTTGTATGCAGTGTGCAGATATATTCTTTCTTCAGGTAGCTTGCTATTTTACTGTTGAATTTTTGTTAGTAGGTTTTGTTTCCCGTGTAGCATTATGTTGAAACTGAATATGACATGAATTATTAAAGGAATGCTGCTAACTTTTATGTATGGAGTATATGATAGGTCCACTTAGGACATTGCATTTGCTTTGTGCTACTTCAGTTATTGAACCTATTGTATCAAATTACATGGATATGAAAAGCGTAATAGTGACACTACAAATAGTACGAGGCTCATAAAAGTCCATTTTACTGGAGCTCCATAAAGGGAAATCCTGAGACTCACTATTTGCCTAGATCTTGCTGAGACGATGCGTCTTCTGATCAGGATGCATGTAAAAGAAAAACTGCTGGATTTTGTTTATATGGAAAAGAAGAGGTAAAAGATATCCATGTTGAAATAAGAGTGATCTGTAAAATATTTTTCCTTTGACAGGCAGACATCTGCCAGTTGGGAATGGATCAACGTAAAGTCAATATGCTTGCAAGAGAGTATTGCGATGACATCAAAAAGAAGAACAAGCCTATTATCTTGTCACACCGTAACATTCTAAATCCTATTCCACCTGTTGCAATTCTGATGTTTTATCCTTTAACATGGGAGTGGTGACATGGTTTTTGTTTGTTTTTCTAAATGATGATTTGCAGACATGTTACCTGGTTTGCAGCAAGGGCAGGAGAAAATGTCTAAAAGTGATGTGACGTCCTCCATATTAATGGAAGATGAAGAGGTGGGTTGCTACTAGCCTACTAGAGGTGAACTAAATTTTCAATTTCTGTGAGGGTCAAGGTTAAATTATCTGTATAAGCTGCATGTGGATTGGAAGACAAATGTATTCAAGTTTTAAGCTAGGGCGTTTATCTTCCATTGTAATCCACTATATATTTGTTTAATTTTTTTACATATATCACTCTCTTAGGCTGAAGTGAATTTGAAGATAAAGAAAGCTTACTGTCCTCCAAATGTTGTCGATGGGAATCCATGTATGGAATATGTGAAGTATCTCATTCTACCTTGGTTCAATGGGTTTTCTGTTGAGCGGACTGAAAAGAATGGTGGAAATAAGTAAGTGATAGACTTTAGATCAAATCTGTATTGGTTAAAAATTTTAATTAAAGGATTTTTTGCTAATTCAGCTTTACATCCTACCGAGAATTCCATTTAAAAACAAATTGATCTTGTTGTCTTGGCTAATTGTACTTTTTGGTCCCCTTCCTTTTCCTTCCAATACAGAACCTTCAAAACCTTTGAAGAATTGGCTGCTGATTATGAAAGCGGCGAGCTACATCCAGCAGACCTTAAATCAGCTTTATCAAAAGCATTGAACAAGATACTGGAGGTATGTTCACTTTTTATACGTATGTTTCTTAGATTTTTATCTCTCCCGAATTGACAGCCTGATGCCAATTTGACTAACCATGAGAGTGGTGACGATTTCACCCCATACTTAGTTGTTAGAGGATTTTCAAAATGTTAGCATTACACAGTTAGGATCGGGGAAATAAATCTATATTTGATGAGCCTAACTGATCTTGCTCTCTAGTTTAAATAAACAAATGAACCATCTTTCATAGGTTCAAGAATTTCTGCTTTTACGTTAAATAGTTGACCTGTCTCATGAAAAAAAGATCCTAGAGCTTATCGGGATCTCTCTTTCTGCTTTAATCTCAAACTGCAAGTATATTTCTTTTGTAAATTATGCCTACCTGGTAAAAAAACGAAAATTAGAAAAGAAGGGAGAAAGAGAAATGCCTGGCTACTCTTTGCCGCTGCTGGGTTAAACTTTCTTATTGTCGGTATGCAGCCTGTACGAGCACACTTCAAGAATGACAAAGCTGCCAAGCAACTATTGCAAAGTGTTAAGGTATTTTTCTTTTTCGTTTGATACAAAACGCTTTTCGTCATTGCATATTTCAGAGTTATTAATTCGAAGTAGCGCTAAGGTAAGAAAACTGAACCGAGCCGTTCTGTGGTTTTGTAGAACTATAGAGTCACCAGGTGATAACATTATTGGAGCTTGGACTTGTCATCGTTACCCTTCTGCTCTATCCTGAATGCTGGATGAAAGGACCTGTATTTCTCAATTCGATATCTCTGATATATTTGACAACACCTGATGGGATTCTTTATATACATGAAATTGTTCGGGTTCCATACATCGCTATTCGTTCATATTACAGTTTCATGCGTTTTCTGAAACTGTAAGGGAGGGTTTTTCTTTAGCCCTTCTGTTTTTTGTATCACGTAGAACAATTCAAGAAGTAAACAAACAATTTTGCAATGCGACGTACGCCTAAACCTAATTTGCATCCTTATGGGTTATGCTTAAGTTTAGCTAAAGAAGAAAACTTTACGACTTCTTTTAGTATATGGTAGTAAATTTCTGTAGTAAATCAATAAATACCGTAGATATTCATTGCTATCGGGTAGGATGAAGTTTGCATTTCATCCCTTTTCATATGCTTGATTTTACGGATATTTTGTCGGACATATCAATAATTTAGTGGATATGTTAAACAGAGAATATGTTGGTGAAAATGGTGATCCAGTTATCGCAAATCCCTCGAAACAAAGAAAAGTAAAGACAGCCGCTGGCTGTTTAAATAAATTTAACAAAGTATTTGGTCCTGCAGCGACACAAAGGTGTAGGCATTGATTTCTGTCATTACTATTGGCAAACTTATCTATACTATTATTAAGAAAACCCTTATTGTCAACTTTTTTTTTCCTTTTTGCCCTCATTTTTTGTACACACTATTGACAAAAGGAGAGTAAAATAGTAATTTTGTATCTTTTGACAAAATGACAATCATATCCCTATTTTTCCTATGTTATCCTCTTTTTTTTTGAGATAATGACAATCATATTTTTTCAATTTTACCCTTACTTTTGATACACAATATTTATATGAGGACAAAACAGTAATTATGTAATATTAAAAAAAATGACTTATTAAGAGAAATTGTTCACATGCACACAAAATGTGTGCTCTCTGCTAGTATTTACCTAAGTCTACAGAGGACGTATTTGCTATTTAGTACTATGGTTTAGTAGTATTTCACTTCACTTGTAAGTGAAAGATTTTAGATTCAGTTCTTGCCAAAAAACGAATTTAAACCGCATTATTATAAACTCATTGCGAGGCTTAGTCTACTCTTCACCCCTTAATGTAGATGAATATCGTTGTTCAAAAAAAAAAAATAAAAAACAGATGACATATTCCCTTGATTTGTTCTACCCTTGATCGACACAAT